GATGATTCTCTGTGAATTTGAAAAGATGACTCACGTATGTATTATTCTACAGTAGTCTCCCGTCTAGACTTCTTTGTCCTACAATGGAAGTTTAAAAGAAGAAAAATCTACCCTGATAGAATCCCCAACAAGCTCTGAAAGCCATATGGTAGAATTTGTGACACTGGGAGCAGACACATTCCGTAATATCTCACCCAGCATTTTCTGTTGAACAGCCATGTTGATTTGGCCGCTGTCCGCCCAGGAGTAGTAGCACATCTGACCCTCCCAAGGAGGTTGCGAAATGCTTTTGTTCTTCCTTTTTGTCCTTTAACAAAAGCGTTTCCCGTGCCCCACAGAGCCTGTCTAGTGGCCTTGTGTCCCTCTCAGAGCATTCACATCAGAGTGTCTCTCTCAGTCTGATTTGCTAGCCGGGTTTAATCTGTTCCGTGTAGTGCCTGGCAGCTTACAGTTCTCCCCCTCCCCATCCTAATTCACTGAGAGCAAGCATGAGGGGCGTGAGCGTGAACATGGCTGCAGTTTCCCCTGCCTGAGCCTGCTTCGAGCCTTTTAAATGACTATACCAGGAGGATTTCGCAGTTGTACAGAAACTGATAGTTCTTCAAAGATCTTTATCAATTCTACACTCACACCCCCGGCTGGCTCAGAAAGGCACTATGATGCTACCTTATTGGCACTGCTGGTCGTGGGATCCTACAGCCTTTGTATAATTCCTTTGTTAGCAACGCTTACTAGGAAAAGAAGTAGGTCGACGGTTTCTCGTTTGATTCTTTGCTTTGTAAGCATGCTTAAATTCTTATTAAATAAATCGATTTTAGGACCTCTTGGTTGTTAGCTTTGTGACTTGTGATTTCTGTTGATTGTGGTGTTTCTCGGTTGTGTTTATGTATATTTAAGATGGGAAAGGATCTGTTGGGAACTAGTTTCATTGTGTGCTTTCTGTATTTGGGGACTTAAACAAATTATAATTCAGCTTATCCATGTTCTGGTATGATTTTATCCTGTTACCAAAGACTATTTGATTTAATTTCTGTAGGTCTTGTGTATGTGACTGGCAGTTGTGCAAATGTAGAAAAAATTACTTCCTTAGAATTTAAATGAAAGCATCAGATTTTTGGTTGTCTTCGATTGCAGTTAATATATGATTCACATAGAAGTGTTAAATGTATAATTACTTTTAAAAAAGCTACCTTAAATATGCAAAAAAAACCCATTTTGAGCCAAAATTGTTTTGCCGCTGGTATGGTGGTCTCCTTAGGAAAGAAATTAATCTTTTGCTGGAGACCATGACCCTGGTCAGCTTCAACACTGGAGCATTTTGAAGGATGGTGTTCGTTTCCTTTGCCTGCTTTCTCTTTGTAATGTGGTATTAGTGGCATCAGTTAAGAATTTTACAGATAAGCATAGTGCTGTTGAGAAATTGGCATCTGGTCCTTGGTACTTGGGGATCCTCAGAAACAATGTTACCAAGTTATATGTGGGTTGAATAAAGATGTATAAGGCAATTTTTTCGTATCCAGGAGTTTAGCAGGTTTTTTTTTTCCTTAAATGAGTGCATAGGAACAAAATTAAAGCAAAAAAAAATGATGACTTCCTTTGGATATTAGTGTAAAGACTGAATGGTAGTTTTCTATACCAAATGAGACAGATCATTGTGCAATTTGGAAGCAGTTCTTGAGAAAGCAGTTTTGCCACATTAGCAGGACTGTGAAGACTTGAGATTTCCTTCCTCTTTCCCTTTGGCCACAAAGCATGTTTATTTTTGAGAGACAGATGGTATGGGGCAAAGGCAGAGAGGCAAACTAAAGCTATTTGCACTCTCTCAGCAATAGATCAGAAAGACTAAATAAAGAACTGGGCCATCCTCTCTTCTTTGGTGGCAGCCTGGCTAACAGGAAATGATCTATAGGAACGGGCACTCACCTGGGACTTGTTCTAGTTTCTATTAACTCATAGTGAGTTGTACAGTCATCTTTTAACATCAGTTTTTGAATCTGATGAATGGGAAGGAAGAACCAGGCCAACCTCAGCATCCTTCGCTGCAGTACGATGATGCCTCCTCATTTGGAAGGGATGCACCTTGATTTGCCCAACTGACCAAGTGGGCAGAAGGATGAATCTTGCTGATCCTGTTTTTCTTGTGGCAAGAATGGTTAGTGAGTATGGCCATATCTGTCAACACTAGAAAGTTGATAAGAACCTGTAGTGTCAATCCTTTCTCAGGCTGCCTCCAGGTTCAGAGGAAAAGGTTGGTGTTTGACTAGTGATGTCTGGCACAGGCAAAGAATAGACAGAGGTGGGCAATGTGTGGTGCTGACTCTTAGGTCACAAGACATGCTGGTATGCACAACCTTCTGAGCAGACTACTTCATGAGGCAATATGCAGATGACTGTTAATCTTTGTCTTTTAGTATCTTTCTATGATGTGTACGAGACATTCTTGTGATTAGGAAGTGATTTTTGCTTTTGAACTTTAGAAGTTTAGACTCAGGTGATTTGATTTTAATCGACATAGCAGATAATCTGGCACAGTGGAGAACGTTAAGCTGATTTACAAAGAATTCCAGAAATGAGCAGAGTGTTCAATATAACAAAAACTCATTTCAACTTAGACGCTAGAGTGTAGTAAGAAATGCTAGTTTGCAAGTCAGCACTGGGACCAACGAGAAGCTCTTTGCCAGCAGGAAATTGCTGCTTCTGGAACTGTCACTACATTCTCTCTTTGGGTTCTGTCATCTCCATTTCTTAGTCCACTTGCAACATACCCTGGGCTGGGGAAATGAAAATAGGGATTCTAGAAAAAAATCTGTTGTAGCATAATCAGACAGTTATGACTTAGGAGGACATTAAAATAGGACAGCTCTGGATGAGGACAACATTGGAAGCTGACAGAAAGCGGTGCCAGTCACCACGCTAGGAACCGAGTAGAAGGTAGAAAAACACTTCCAGGGCCCGATGCCTCGGAGTAGCATTCAACCTGCCAAGTTGGAATTTATTGAAAAGCAATGTGCCATGTAAAGTGCTTGGAAAATTGAGAAAAATACTTAAGGGTTAGGCTATACAAGTATGTTTGGCTTATTACATCTGGTAAAGTCAGTGCTTATACAATGGATAGTCCTAGAGTGTGATTATTTGCCGTACACACACACACACACACACACACACACACACACACCATACAAATATGTATTTATAAGAATATATATGTATATTTGTGTCTGAGACTAGTATATTTTATCCTTGAGACATGGGTTTTGACTCTGTTGTGTTCCAAAGTTGATGGAATCAGGTGCTGCTGTCATAGTGAGCCTTCAAGAGTAGGGCCGGGCAGTGGTGGTGCATGCCTTTAGTCCCAGCACTCGGGAGGCAGAGGCAGGCAGATCTGAGTTCGAGGTCAGCCTAATCTACAAGAGCTAGTTCCAGGACAACATCCAAAGCTACACAGAGAAACCCTGTGTTGAAAAAACAAACAAAAAGAATAGTGCCGAGGTAGTTTTATTTCCAGAACACTATCTACTGTTCTGTGAGGAGAGTAGCCAGGGGTCATAAGAAACATGTTCACTTCAGTGAGAAATTATTTCATCATTCTTTGTAAGCAGCAGATCTTTGTATCTAAAGCTCAGAAAAGTGAGGCATGCATTGAGAGTTGTGGAGCATCTTATATCCTGTTCATAAATTGAAATGAATTTCCTTTTTCAAAATTGGAACAAGTGACCGACTTGCTTCTGAAAGGAACTAAAGTTGATCCAAGACAAGCAAGTCTGAAGCCCAGTTGTTATAACAAAAGGGGCTTCTGTGATAGGATTCAAGTCTGTTAAACACCAACTGAAATCCAGTGCCCACTTGGCATGAAATGTTGGTGCTGTCACCCCCACTGTGTGTGTGTCCTTTAGAATGTTATGTGGAATGGTACACCACCTTGTCCATTAGCATCCTGCCAAGCTTGGAAAGCCCCACTCCATAGGCTCTGGGCAAGGCGATAATTAGAAAGCAGGAAACAAACTAGGCAGAAGCTTGCCATCAGGAGGGCACGTTTGCTATCTGGGCATAAGGTGAACTAGCAGATGGATCAGGCTACAGATACTGTGTGAGGACTAGGAGAGCATCTGATGTGTGTGAGCATTGTCAGCAGGGGCTGAGGTCGCTTAACCTAATGAAAAACTTAACTGTTGACTTCACATTATTTGTGAGCAAGAGAAATGTATCACTCTTTGCCTAGAGTATGAAGAAAGGGGTCAAAGTCAGTAATGAAACTATTTATGCTCCTCCTCCACAGTGCATATACGAAAATGGAAATGCTACAGGGATGGTAACACGGCTCCTGCACCAGGATGATGCATGTTCATGTGGAGCCTTCTAAGGGGAAAAAGAGACCTATGTAGTGAATGGTGAAATAAAACTGGATGCCCAGGATTATGTGTTGACAATTTCTTAGAGAAAATAAAGGTTCAGAGCAGAGGAGAGATTTTGTATTTTCTTAGATGAATTTCGCTACATACTTGAGAATCTCTTTATGTATTTTTTCCACTTTGAGGCTAGACACCTTTGTCACAGGGTGGATGCTGGCCACCCAACTTCTCACTTCAGCTTTTTTGGAGACCAGATTTTATCCTTGAAACCACCGAGGATTTTGTCTATTATGGATTTTTTTAAACTTCATTAACATCAGCTGCTTATAGTCTGTATGGTCTTCATGGAGAGGGAGGTTTTCCTGTGTTTGCATTGGGTATAAACATAGCATGGGTGGCCATTTATCTTCCACCTTCTGTCTGAGATAAAAGCCTGCTGGAAATGTGCCTGAACTTGGGAACTATGCAAAGAAACAAAATGTAGGTCTTTGCATTCTGAGAACAGCATTTAATTTTGCATAATCTAGACCAGAAACTACCTCTGTATTCTTGACCTTCAGTAATTATTGTGATATTGTAGTCTCTCTGGAACAAATCTGGGGGACTTGTTATTTATGTGTTAAATAGGTGTGATTTTCTGTTTTGTTATAGCTGGTAATGCTGCTGTCATCAAGTATGAAGAGAAAGCTCCCAAACAAGCCTTCCAGAATGGGTCAGGAGCCTTATATCTGAAGCCTTTGGTCCCCAGAGCTCACGCACACTTGCTCAAAACTCCTCCAAAAGGTATTGTCTTCATGGTGATGAATAGAAAACTAAAGAATTTTAAACTCTGTGGCTTTTAGGGAGTCAAATTTTGACAAGTAGATCTATGGTACATGTAACAATTAATTTCTATGTTTAAACGCCTGTTGAGTAAGAATTTTAGCAATGAGATAGATGCTCTTGTTCCAAGAGTCTGCAAATTCTATAGATAAAATCCAATAATAGGAATCAGCAGGTAGGGGCTAGAGAGATGGCTCAGTGGTTAAAAGCACCGACTGGTCTTGCAGAGGACCCAGGTTCAATTCCTAGCACCTGTATAGTGGCTAGCAGCAATGTGTATCTCCAGTTCCAGGGGATCTGATGCCGTGCCAACTCTATATCCCAGGCTGCACAGGTACTGCTCACACATGCACACAGAGACGCATGCAGGCGAAACACCCATCACATAAAATAAGAAATAAAGCAAATCTCAGAAATCAGCAGGTAGAACAGAGATGTCCGGGGATGCTAACAAATAAAACTAGCATTCAATTATTCTAGGATGAGCCCCTAGGTGAGATCGAGGAGTGAGGAGCATGGCTTATTTCCTATCTGCGCCCGTGGTTCATGTCTGTTCCTTTCTTCCCTTGTTCAAAGGGAACCTCTTTGTGTCTGATCCTTCTGTGTCACTCACTTTGCCAGTGCCGTGGCTCTTAGAGAGCGTGCAGTGTGCAACATCTGTGTATACTTAACCTGCAGTGTTTCCATGCAGCCTTGTCAACAGCCGGGAGCATGGCAAAGCTCTGCTCATGGGTCTTTGAAAGCCATACTTATATCAGAAAACTGGAAAAGCAGCCAGCAGCCACTGTGGCACCCCTCCCAGTGTTCTCTCTGCATATAAACGTGGTTGATTTTCAAACGAAAAGAAACAGTGGTTTCATCTTTGTGTGTGTGTATGTATGCATGCATGCTATCATGTATGTAAAAGACCCTGTGATCGCTTGAGGTTTCTGACCTAGCCTACATGTAGTAATACTCTCTTCTTTTGACTTGGTTGAAGGGGAAAAGTGAAGAAAAATATGGGTTGGGGGAGTCCTGTTTAGGGTGGGTTATTCATTGTGCCATCGGGATCTTATTTGTCTTATACACAGCTCTGAGGCATCAGAGGGCCCCCTGCTAGGATGGCATTAATATCGGAAACCAAGACTTTTTTAAAGCCCTACACTACCCCCTTCCCAACAGTAACTAAAAGTCAACCCTGTGGTGGAGCTTTGATCCTGAGGTGACTTTCAGAGGACAATTGACCCCACTGATAACTGGCAAACAGGGCAAGCCGTTGTTCTAAAAGGCCGGCCCCTGAGTCTGCAGGTGTCTCCCGGAGGCTTGATTTGAGAGGGAGCCTGTGCTTTCCATTTAAGATGGCCACACTCTCAAGAGATTATCTTCTCTTTGGAATTCCGCAGATGGACCATGGCAGTTCTAACCGGTCATCTCCAGATGGCTATTCACTTGACGACTGTTTGATGTCACATACAGACCCTTATAGCTCTGCAAGCCTCTACCTGTTTGGTTCCTGGCTGCATTTTATATTGCATCAGTCTGGAGAAAAAGCTCCAGTGCATTTCTTCCTCACAGCTGCTGAATAGAAGGCAGCCCCTTGGGGAGACGCACTCCAGCAGCCAGCCCTCTTGCACAAAGTGTCACCTGTTTCCTATGTGCAGTAGGATAGGGAAAGCAAGGGCTTAGTATCGCTGATGGTGTGTCTCCTGGCCAGCCTGTGTGTGGCTCAGGGGTGGAGTGCTCTCCTAGTCTGTGGGGCCTGGGATTTCAGATATTAGAATAACAATAAATAACTAAGATTTAAATGTCCTTGACTGCAAGATATACACCATGCCTTGTCCTTTTGAAAACTGATACTGTTGTTCATGATGGTCAAAGCACATCATTCTTATTAACAAATTAGATATTTACAGTACTATCTATAATTGATAAAGTTGTTTGCATCTTGGGATTTTCTCAGTGGTTAGCTGGAACTTAAAATTTAGAGATTAGTGGAGGGCTTTTGAAATAAAAATGAAACCACCCTTATTTACCAAATGGCTTGAATTATGTGTAGTATTTTCAATAAAACATGTGTTTTGTTTCTTTCACATTCTAGGTCCTTCAAGAAAGAGTCTATTTACAGCTTTTAATTCAGGCAAGTGACCACTTTAAGCATGAATAGATAAAAATCTTTGTATTTGAAAAGGAATGATCAAACATACTGGAATTTATTTACAGTGGCTTTACTGGTATGCTTTTAAGTCAAAATTCAGGCCTTAAGGTATCAGTAAATAACTGCATATGACAAGGCATTTGGGAAGCATGGCTGATGAGGACCTTTTATTATGTAGATAAGTTTAACTTAAAATGATTTTCTAAATGACACTTCCAAATATAGATGTTACTTTAAATTGGATCATCTTTAATTATAAAACTGTCCTTAAGATGCAGTTTTTATTTAACCCCTTGTATTAGCTCGGCAGCTCTCTGTTTTTGTGGCACCTCACCGCCTCCCAGGTCCCCTTGGTTGGACATACACTTCTGTAACTTAAACACATTTAACTGCATTGAGCGTCTCATCCTCCCTTTGGAGGAGCCACAGATTTTATAAAATGTAATCATTGAAATCCCTATGTATGGCGTGCAGGACAGTGTGCAGTCAGCCATGCACTCCCTATGTGCTCTTGTTTTGTATTACAGTGATAGCACGGTGCTGTGGCTTCGAAGCCCCCTGCACACGAGAACAGAAAGCCAGAAAAAAAGGCCATGTTGCAGCCTGTAAACTAACTGCTAACCAGGCTCTCAAAGTGTCAGCACAGGATGCAATTGTGGGCCATGTGTTTCCCCCCAGTTGGAAGCATGGAGCATTTTCACAGCTCGAGGCTGATGTGAGATTCACTTGAGTCTGATGAGACATTTCTGTGTGTGACTTTTGAAGTAAGAATACTTGTAAATATTGAAATCCCGTTTTGTCACATACCACAGAGATCAGTTTTAATGAGTCTCCTGGTGTAAGCGCAGTAACAGTTAACCTTGAATGTTTGAGTTGGTTCTATATATCAATTCATGATTCCATTATGAACTGTTTGTAAAACAGTGATTTTTCTTGTGACAGATTCTTTAAAAATGTCTTTAATAAACTAAAGCGGTTGCATATTATATCACTCCGATAACCACATTATTTTTAAAAAGCTCCATACTAGCGTCTGGTATGATCCACAACATAAAAGTACTGACCGTACCCTGGGCAGCCTCAGATTTTACTTAATTTTTTATTTCTTTAATTTACTTTTTTATTTTAATTTCATGAATTTTATTTAGTTTTGTCTGCTTTGCCTGGATGTAAGTCAGTGTACAACATGCGTGCAGTGCCCTAGGAGACCAGGAGAAGATATCAGATCCCCTGGAATTGGAGTGACAAACATTTGTGAGCTGCCATGTAAGCTCTGGGAGCTGAACCCAGGTCCTTTGAAAGAGTTGGGGTGCTAAACCCGGGAGCCATCTCTCCAGTCGCGCTCTAATTTTTTTTTTTTTTTTTTTTTTTTGCTGAGGGAGAATGAAATATTTGAAATGTTCTATCGTCATTTCAGTTTAACAGTTAAAGAAATTGTTACCTTGGAAGACAAGGAGGACAGAAGAAAATGACCTTGTGAGGCTTTGGGTGTTGGTGAAAATCTTAGTTCTCCTCTTCCTATTTGTGGCCTGACTTTCCTACTTCCTCAGCTCCTCCAGAGCTCGAGTTTCTCTGTTGGCAGCATGGGAGTGTTTAGCAGATAAATCCCAGTGCGGGAATTGTTTGACAGTGTAGAATATTTTCATCCCAGGCTCTCAATGGTAGCTAATCTTGCTGCTGGGGCTGACTGAGGTTGACAGCTCTCCGTTGTTGCTACACTTTTAGTGGCTTTATTTTAGAGGTGATTTCCACCACCACCACCACCACCAACCCCCACACACTCCAGTATTGAGCTCCATGAGCTCTTCAAAGCAAGTGGGAAAACCTACCCAAACCATGAACCACGTCCCTGGGGTATAGTTGTTGTGATTTATTTAAAGCTCATGACGCTGTGAGATTCTAGGCAACATTGGCTCTAAATAAAACATGCTTGCTGTTTGTGAGGAAGATGTCACACACCACAGCATGCTATTATTACCTGGTTCCGACACTCATGGGAGCTGTTTGGGATACCATAGGCGTTCAAGCTGGGTTTATCCAGTTCTGACTGTTTCGTACACCATCCCTGTCAGGTGCCGTGATGTCTGCTCCTTCTGTGCCATTTCATAAACATAGCCCGTGGCTTTCTGCCTCTCTTCTCTCCTTTCTCTGGTGTTGGGAGGTGGTTAAGGGCGGCAGACCTCCTCTGGGGTGACACGATGCCACCCTGTGTACCTGCCGTCTTTCCTTATTGCATGTTCATGATCTCAACTTTGCCCTCGTGCTGAAAGGGCAGACATCGTTTATATACATGAAAAATGCGTGCTTCATTAGGAAGAACAGATCATTTCGGGAATCCTACTGTCACAGTGGCTACCTTTTTGGCTGGGAACTAGATCTTTTCACAGCGGGCACATGAATGTATTCCAGACAGAAGGTTTTTACATGTATAAATGAGTAAAAGCACCATAAACATACTCCTGAAGAGAGAAGGCCTTTCCTAGAGCACATATATAATAATAGAGATTAATAATTTATGGTAGTATATGATTTGAGCTTTGCTTTGTCAAAATAGACAATATAACCACACTTGTTCTTCGAAGCACTCTTCAATAAAAGTCAGCATACAAAATTCCCGGGGAACCAAATAAGATCCCAAAATAGCTAGAAGCAATCTTATGGGGGAAAACAAAGGTGGAAACATCCTAAGTCTTGCTTTCAAGTCTATCAGTTCACCATTAAAATGGCGTGGGTCTGGCACAAAGGTAGATACAGAGACCAATGCACTGGAACAGCCCAGAAGTAAGCCCATGGACATACAGTCCACTGAGCCTTGACAAAACTGCCAAAAAAATGCCCAGTTAGGAGGACTATAGTGTCTGTGGCCACAGTGAAATTGAACCTTCATCTTACCTCATATACAGAAAACAACTCAAAACGAATTACAATGAGACTTGAAACCGAAAAACTCTTAGAAGGAAATGACAGGACAAGGCTTCGTGAATCTGTGGTTGACCGTGATTTCTTGGTTTGATACCAGAAGCACGAGACAAGCAAAACTGAGCAGGTGAGACTATTCAGAGTGCAAACTTCCTCGGAGCAGGGAGACAGCAGCAGCATGACAGGTGGCCTACAAGAGGGAAGGAACCGCCTGCAGGCCCGATAAGGGCTGATCTACCAAAGTGAAACAGGATGTGAAAGAGATTTGAGCTCCCGTGTTCTCTGCAGCATTGTCCCCAGTAATTGTGTGAGAATAGCTTAAATGTCTGAGATAAAGATGTGGTATGCCCACCCACACAGTGTGCAATACTATTCACAGTACTATACAAAGGGCACGGTGCCGAGGAGATGGCTTGGGGTGGGGGGGGGGGTGGTAAAAGTACTTCTGTGACAGCATAAAGATGTGTAGTGCGAGCATCTCTAATCTGAGCACTGTTATGGGGAGATAAGAAGTGAGACTAAGGATTCTCTGCAAGCTCTGGCCCAGGTGGCCTGGCGTACACAGCAGAGAGAGACTCGAACAGTGGATGTCAAAGGCTAACGCCCGAAGGCTGTCCTTTGCCCTCTCCACGCTCACATGGCATGTGTGTCACTCACTCACAGGCACACAATGCACAAGATAGTCTTGCTGACTTTGTTTACATTTGGTATCTAAAGTAGCAGAAGAAGGTGTGATGGCTTCTGGGCATTGGCAGATGCTTGCCAAGAGATGGGAAGTTGCTGTTAGTTTCCGTTATGAAAGATTAGGACATTGTTACAACACTGTTACAACATAATATGTAGTTAACATGGGCACATGCTTAAAATTTGTTGAGGGTAGATTTTGTTCTTGCTAAAAATAGCAGAAGATGAACACAAATAACTAGACAGGGAAAAAATTATGGCCAGGAAACACAAAAGAAATGTTAACTGACTTAGAACTGTGCACTCTCTTGTTTGGCCGGTCTTTTCGTTTGTTTGTTTTTTTGGTTTTGTTTTTCTTTTGTCCTTTATGCAAGTACTTAGTGAATCGATGGCAAATATAGAACAGGAGGTTACACGCAGGACAGGAGTGTAGATTTAGGAGCCACTGCACAGAGCACAGTCTTAGGGCAAATATGATCAGAATGAGCCTAGGAAGAGATTGTCTTGTTTGTTGCTTTTCAGAATTCTTTAAAAGGGGGAAAGGAGGCTAGGAAGATGGCTCAGCAGTTAAGAGATTTGCTATTCAAAAAAGAAACAAAGTCCCCCAAAACAAACCCCAAACCCCACCACCAACAACAACAACAAAAGCTAACTAAAGTTTTAATCCTTATGAATCGTTCCGTCTTAAGCACTAGGCTTTTATGCTGATCCTTTCAGACTACAAATAACACCCGACACCTTTTTTTCTTGGCCACCAGGGGGCAGGTGATGTTTGGGAAAGAATTGAAACTGAGCAGTTTGAGGCTTTGGTGTATTTATTAGCAAGCTTGACTTTTGTGTGCAGGCATTTTTTTTTCTTTTCCCCCCAAGTGAGCAATTCCAGGCTCACAGAAGCTCCACAGTGCCTTCCTCACACAGCCTTGTGTGTGCAGGCATTCTTACAAACAACATTTGGCTTGGGTTTTCCTTTCCATTGACATTATTTCTATTATTTCAGGTTCTTGCTGCTTTCAGGGGAAAAGGATTAATAGCTACTGTGTGGGGGATAGTTAATGGTCGTGTATGCAGCTTAGGTAATTTTTCTTATTTTAAATTTACGTGTATAGGGGTTTCGCTTGCATGCCTGTCTGTGCATCCCATGCATGCGTGAGGGTTGAGAAAGGCTGGAGAGGGCCTTGGATCCCTTGGGATTGGAGTTACAGACATTTGTGAGCTGTTGTGTGGGTGCCGGGAACTGAACATGGGTCCTTTGGAGGAGCAGCCATTTCCCCATCTCCTTAAAATCAAGTGTTTAATGAACATAACTAATTGGTGAGTGGGGTGCTTATGTCTTGCTTTTGGGTAGGACAATTTAGAGTTTACTGTTAACAGTCCCCACC